CCACCCGTGCATCGTACCAGGCCAAGAAAGCTTTACGTTCGGCAGGAAACATGCTGTCAGGATCGTAAGTAGACACGGGAGGATATGGACCCACATAGCCTTGGTGAGCTTCGGTGTTGAAGAAGTGAGGGAAGTAGCCTTTCTTGAGTTCCGTCAAGGCAAACGTTTTTGGAAACTGCTTCAGAGCCATCGTGAGGAAGTTGAGTGAATCCTTGAAAACAAGACGTCCCACGGTCATCTGCAAGATGTGATTCCCTCGAAGTGTGACCTGGGGTGCTTTCACGAGATGTTGATGAAAGTACTGCTGGAGCAAGTGTCCATCATACCCACGGTAGTTGTGAGCAATGACCAAGACGTCGTCATCATCGAGGGTAGGAGAAATGTCGTCTTCGTCGTCTTGTTCTTTGTCGTCGTTGTCTTGTTCTACATCATCATCATCGGGTTCTGGTGATGACCGTTTGGGTTGTTTGGAGGCACGGCCTGACGGCTGCTGCTGGGATGCCTTACGTTTCTTCTTCTGCTTCTCTTTCTTTTCCGCCAGATGCATCAGCCAGTCGCCCATGTCCTTCAAGGTCGTAGATCCCCGAAACACTTTGATGCGGCTAGGCCCTTCTCCTTCTTTACGCCAGGGACACTTGTCACACAGTTGATCCGAGGCCTCGGAAATACATTTTCCACATCCTAGATGCACCACGCACAAGTTGGGAACATGAGTTCCTTGATCTTGAGTACATTCAAAGTCATAGAAGATGAACTGACGCTGCTGACGTTCTTTGTCTTCATCCATTTTTTCACCGTCTTCATTTTGTTTCGGTGGTTCGATGACGGACATGTAACACTGGTGGTTGGGTTTCAAGGGTTCTTTGCAGATCTTGCAGTCCCGATTCGTGCCACACTGGTGGTTGGCCATGCCCTGAATTTTCTCACGTTGACTTTGGCCAGACATCGATGACACGTATGGATGGTGGAGCAGGTGCTGGGATGCTTGGCGGAGGCCGTCCGATGGCGTTCAAAGCAGGTAGGGTTTCGGAACCATCCGCCACATTGGAGACAGGAGAGCCCTTCATTGACCACGTCGCCACAGTATCCAAGACATTGGCACCAGTAACATTGAAATTCTCGGGTGCAGCGATGATCTTCAGCGTGGTCGTATCCTTGGTCACACGTTTCACAATAGTAACTATAACCTGTGAAGGCAGGCATGGATGTAATGACATCGTAATGGTGATGGTGATGATACAGGTGAAGGATCTTGGTGGGTTGAGCCACTTCACTCTTGTACAGGAGGCGATTCATCACCTCTTGGGAGTAGACTTTGAGCTGATAGTAAGGGGCCAAACGTTGACTGAACAACTCCCACGTGGCACGCCCTGTACAAGGACCTTCGGGGATCTTGAGTTGGCCGAAACAAACCCTTGGCAGCCTTCAACTGCGCTGGTCTACGATGGTCACACATGTATTTCCATTCCTTCGTCCATTCTTTGGTCACAGGATCGGGTTTGTGTTCGTGGTGACTGGCCACGACCAGGGCACGGGCAAAGCAGAGCTGATCCTCATTCTTGATTTGAACGATGCATTGTTTCTTTTCCAGGAAAGCGTTTAAGCCGACGAGGTGCCTTGTCCGCCCGTGTCCCTCACCGATACGATCAGGATCCTCTACATGCAGTAAGAAAATGTCCATGGTGTCATCGATATGTAAGTCGTGGTTGCTTTGTTGTACTTTTTCCACTTCGGCCATAATGTGATCCCCCTGGAGGTCACCCATCCGTTGAAATGGGATTCGGATGTCTGAATCTAGGGCTGGGTATTCCAGGGCCAATCCCACACGATCACCATCCTGTGCGCCCACATCGTCTCTCAAATCTGCTAACACGGCATCAAACTGTTCTCTGAGAACGACGGGAAGGTCTTCAGGCTGTTGACGCTGCAGCCAAGCTGGATTGAACGTCAGGTTGTAGTGCTGAGTATCAGTCCGGAATTTCTTGGTTGTTCTTTGGGTCGTCCGCTCCAACTGGTAGGGCACAGGCTCCTCTTCAAGTTCTTCTTCCTTCTCTGCTTCGTTCATTCGTGGTGACGGCATGGTGAGAACTGGCAAGACCCACGCTGAGCCTGGTTTATATAGGTCACGTCACCCTATGACGTCACAATAGGCCGTGCCAGTGCGCACCATGAGCTCATGTGTTATTTATAGGAATGATGTCATACCCCATGACGTCAGGATGAGAGTGGTGCGAACCGGATGCAACCGGTGCGAACCAGATGCGTCAAAGTGACGTCATCAACCCAGCTATATAAACTCGAGGTTTTCCAGCTCTCCTCATCAGTTGCTCACTGAAACTGGAAGCATGCAGACGTCTCCCGCCTCCGCCTCCTTCCGTTGCCGCCTGTGTGAAACAGATGACCACAGTTATCTACACTGTCCCAAGGTGACCTGTACCGAGTGTGGTGCTCAAGGTCATCGCCATTACGTATGTCCCAAGAAGACCAAGGACAACAACAAGCACGATAACAACACCTGCTACAACTGTGGAAGAAACGAAGGTCATCTCAGTTACGCCTGTCCACATCCCTGCCGTCACTGTGGTGAAGAGGACCATAAGAGTATGAACTGCTCTAACAAGGCCCAGAAACGTCCAGCATCCACCCACCAGTCAAGTGAACCGCCAAAGAAAGTGAGTAAACGTGAAAGCCAACATCTACTGACTCTACTCCATGACAAGGTCCTCCTCGTTCAAGATCGCATAGACACCATGTACTCTCTACTTCAACGCATCTTGGAGTTTGTCGAACCCATGGACGATTCCAGCAGCACGGCCTCCAGTGCACCACCATCACCACCATAGATGCCTCGGTGATCTCTCACCCACCCATACCAACGGCCCTTTTCAGGGCCACCCACCTGGCTCGAAAGAATGCTCCATCCAATGTTTTTAACCACACACACACACACACACACTTGTCTAGCCACGCCATCGTGTCCGCCTCACCCCTCTCCCTCCCTCCCTCTCCCTTTCCTCTCCTCTCCTTCCCTCTCCTTCCCGTCCCGTCCCGTCCGCCGCTCGTCCGTTCCGCCATCTTGAAAGGCGTCTACGCTCGCGAGATCCCGCGAGACTCCACGCGATCCCGCGAGATCTCACGCGATCCCACCGGATGGGCCCGCCCTCTTGAAACGCGTCCGCCATCTTGGCCCGGAGATGACGTCATCGTCATGCGCGCACCCACCGGAACCGGTCGTGACGTCATCGCCATGCGTACGCACCCACCGGAACCGGAACCCGAGTGATCTCCCCTGATAACAGTACCCCTGGGCGTCTTTTTCTTGATCCAAGATGGCGGCGCCCATGGAGACCGGATGTGCCGCCATCTTGAAAAGACGCCAGGGTACTGTTGTACACTACTAATAATAAATGTAGTTGAGAATGTGGATAGTTCAGCAGTATTTCTTATTTCTGCAACAAAAGACAGTTCATGTCAATGAATACACAAGGCACCAAGGTGCCTGAACGTGCTTGGATGATATTAGTAAAATGTGTATGCACGAAGAATACATACACCACACGTTTGTGTTTGTTAAAAGCCACAGTCCAATAAGAATTATCCAGCGAATTCGACGCACGAGAAGGGGCATCATGTTCGAGGATACCAAATTGTATCTGTTGTAAAGTGTAATGTTTTCATAGCAGTTACGACACTACAAATATTCCTTAAACCCCTTATCGGACGAAAGGCTTAAACGTAAATCAATGTTTGCACCAGTGATGTTAGCCGAGTGAAGCAACTGCAAATCAAGAAACAGGGTACTACGGAGCAGTTTACCGTACGAGACTGTGCGAGGCGATGACAACTGACTACAACCAGAATGGCGTTGTGACCAGTGTGACAATATGCCAAATGTATTACTTTATACCCTGACAAAATACTGTCGGCGCCTTTGATATTTTAGCGAAACATCTTACAATGTTCTAATACTAGTTTTATCTTATATATTGCTAGTTGTTATATAGTTTGACAAGACATTATTGAGAAATTTAGGAATATATTTAATTGGATTTCTAGTATAAACAACCTTGACCAGCTATCAAGTGATTGGTTTCATCCAAAAGAGACAACTCCGTTAATCGTTTTCATTGGTTTGTGAAGAGTTATCCCCTTTGTTTTACTTGCTAGCAGACGACATTTTCAGTGATCCTCAGTATGGATGATTTAGAGAAGGGGAAGATTTTTTAGAGTACTATAACAAAGGACATCAGATCAGCTTAAAGTGATTTCAAGTAGAGCAGGCATCCCTTTGTCCCCTGTTTATCGTTTTTTGAAAAATATTGCAAATGGATATGGCATTGAGCACAAGGGAGGCGCAGGTAGGCCCAGAAAATTTACTGTCGGTGCCAGGAGGCGGCTTGGTTTTCTTGTTCCCAAAACCAAACGACGGAGTTTAGTTCTATTGACATTTTTTGATTTTCCAGCAGGACAAAACCCAAAACATCGGTCAAAGCATTCACAGGCCAGGTTTCGGACCCACAATATGACATTATGAGCTCAGAATTCTGAGGAATATTGCTGAAATGAAAGAAGAGGTGGTCCGATATTGGGACAGCATGGACCACGACTTTCTAACTTCTTTGATCAGTAGTATGCCCCGCCCCATTGAAGCTTGCATTGCTGCCCATGGTGACTTGACAACATACTAACTGTTCACCTGTCTTTATGACCTGAGTTATGTTCTGCTAATATTCACATTTAATACGTGAGTAATGAGTGAAAAAAATCTTTAAATTCTCAATAATTTTCTGGTTGTACTGTGGATTGATCAGGTCACAATATGGCTGAAATACTGCCAACGTAACTAAAACTAAACTCTCACTCGCTCACCTGTAGTCATCATTTCTTGGAAAAGGTAATAACTATATAGCAATACACACTGTGTGCATGTGGCAGTCGTAATACCCTTTTTAGACCTACAAAAGAAATCAAAACAACATCAGCAGCTAAAACACCCTCACTGTTATAGAGTTCGGTTACACCGTCGCAGCTGAGATTCCAGTGTTTGTCTTGACAGTTGAATACCAGCTTTACACCACCCAGGTGTGTTTTGGTCACATTAAAGGTTACTGGTTGAAGACCTTGATCACCAACAGTTAGAATTTGTTTGACATCCCCGGTCTGCAGTGTGAAGTTTGATTCTGCAGAACAGTAGGAGCCTCGTATGTCGTAATACGCAGCAATGTTCACAGTCAGTGTCACTTCCTGCTGTAGGGTAAGCGTCTCTGTGTCCTTGTCACTGGTGATGTCGCATGTTGGTGCCCTTACAAGTGCTGTCAAAACAAAGGACTTCATGGAAAGACGAAAACAGCATTATTGAAGATATATTGTTGCGAGGATGTTGTTTCGAGGATGTAAATATCGCAGCACCTCCTGGGTGACTGCCATGACTAAGCCAATTTATGAAAAGAAAGCATAGATATGAACTGCTTATAGCATCAACAAAATACTATTTATGACGCTCACACGTTATATCATCCTATTTAGGTCTCATCGTCTCGGTTAAGTATAACCACTGAAGCCTTCTGGGTTGACGAGGCATGTGGAAATTGTCCTGCCATTTTCCGAACCATATGTTTGTCATCAATGTGTAATAAAACAAATGTGAGGTATTTTACTTGTATCTACATTCAATGGTATATGCTTGCTTTCATTGGCATACAGAAACACTAACCGAGTTTATTCACACCGCCACACGAAAGATCCCGCTGACTGTTGTGGCATGTAAACACCAGCCCTACTGTACCCAGATGGGGAGTCCGTCACATTTAGTGTTACTGATGAAGTGTTGTCAGAGACACTTTGGTACAGAGTCAGCTTCCATCAGCAGGGTTGTCACATTCCCGGTCTGGAGGGAGACGTTGTGGGCGGTGGAGCAGTAGTAGTCTCGTACGTCCACTGTAAGGATCAGATCCCGATACTGGACAAGTACATCAGTGTCATCCGAACTTGTGATGCTGCACGTTGGTGTCTCTGAAACATTAAATATAGTCTTAGACTGTTAAAATAATACGTAAAAAATCGAGCATTCTCATATAATTCAAATAGAATTTTGACTACTGACATTTGGTTGTATGTACAGCGAACACTGTTTGTCCGCTTTCAGAGCAAATAGTTTGAGTATGATGTGCCATCTGCAACTCCGTGTAACGTCGTGCGGGAAAGAATTGGTCCAAAGTTTCAATGTTTCGTAGTTTGATAAAACAATTGCATCCTCTTCTACCAGAAAAATACAATATACTTATCTCCAATAGGCATTTGGCAAAAACATTTAACTCTGTTAGGGACTGAGTTTTAAATATTTTGTGGATTTGTCTTCTTTGTATCTGAATTATAACTCGAATTCGCAGAATCAAAAGTACAGAGTGAGTGAGTGAGTGAGTGCGTTTAGTTTTGCGACGCTTTGGCAGTATTCCAACAATATCACGTTTGTGGACACCAAAATGGGTTTCACACCACAGGGGCGTGTCACGCTTAGAAACAGCGTTAGAAAGACATACAGGTATATAGACCCTACCCTAGTACTATATAAAAGGAAAGGGATGTAACGACGGAACCACCCCCTGCTCAATCAAAGTTAGATTTCACCACGTAAACGGATCGAAAGCGAGATGATTTCCCTACCAAATGAGCTATAAATGGTGACAATCGGATCATTATTTCAAAAGTTGTACGCCACGACTCACCGAAAACAGCTACCTCCGCAATTCCAAGCCACAATCTTGGATCACCCAAGACAGTGAAAACCATCGGCTATCATACTCACTTGTCGGCCATAGATGGCCTGGACATTCAAGTGATCTGACCAGATCTGCAGAAACTGAATTGGGCAATCCGATAGGTGGAAAATATAATATACTGTAAGATTTGGACTGTTTACTAATGGGTGCAAAATATGAACTTTGCAATATTCCTTCTAGTTTGATGATGTACGGAACAGTAAATAGTTAAGAATATTTTTTAGAGGTTGTAAAATGCATTCGATATTGATTCATTTTAAGAATCATATTTATAAATGTTTAACCTCTAAAATTATTCCTACCAATTTACTGCTCAGGTCACTTGAATGTCAAGGCCATCTATGGCCGACAAGTGAGTATGATTGCCGATGGTAATCTAACTTTGATTGAGGAGAGGGTGGTTCCGTCCTTACATCCCTTTCCTTTTATATAGTACTAGGGTAGGGTCTTTATACCTATATGTCTTTCTAACGCTGTTTCTAAGCGTGACACGCCCCTGTGCTTCACATTGTACCCATGTGGGATTCAAATCCGGGTCTTCGGCGTGACGAGAGCGAGCCCAACAAGTACAAGTACAAGGCTTCCCCACCTCCCCGAATCAAAAGAAGGAAATTGAAGCCAGAACGCCGGTCTTATTCCCAAGGATGGCAATGTTTCAGCCAAGTGTAAATATTGAGTGAGTGAGTGAGTTAAGAGTTTAAGTTACACCGTGCGTAAATATATGGCGCGAATCAAACCAGCGATTGACGGCATCAGCCACTGTCTAAGCAGTTTGGAAAGAATGACATGCAGTAAGTCTGGAGCACACCATCTCGTTTTTCACTTCCTTCAACAAGCAAGCTGAAGATTAAACCGATCCCGTATTTTATAGTGCTGGCCATCTAGATAACATTCCGCAGTTGAACTTGCATACCCATCTCAAAACACAATATGCTGACTCCGAGCCGACCAGTCCTTGTATAAACATGTTACACCGAGCGCCGATCAGGGTTACAAGTACTGCATTTTGATATCTTTGAATTAGTGGGTTGAATGAGTATGGCCTTACGGCGATTTTATGAATATTGCAGCAATATCAGGGCGGGAGACACCAGAAATGGGCTTCATACATTGTACCTATGTGAGGAATCGAACCCGTGTCTTCGGCGTAACGTTATCCTCCTGAGAGGGTACTTAAGTTCCAAAACAATTAAAGTGAATTTAAACATACTACTATTTTTAACCGTAGTATGTAAGTTATTTTGAATTATGGCTAGATTGTGATGGTGTAGTGTAAATCCAGCTAGGGTCCATGCAGGAAGCAAATGTACTGTAAGTCTCCATGGTCTTAGTATGGTGACCTACCGTCAGATGTTGGAAATCTATAGCCTGTTCTTATATTGTATTGTCATGTATAGTTAAGATGAATTTGGATTTAGTTACTAATTTATATCTGTGGTAATCGAATTGTTTTACTGTCCTTCGTGGACAGGTTTGTATAATTTACCTTCAATTATTATTAACCTATAACTTGATTTAGTCACGATATGGCTGACATATTGCCAAAGTGACTTTAATTGTAACTCACTCACTTCGGCGTAACGAGCCAACGCTTGAACCAATACGATATCCCACCGCCCCTTTAGTTAGGGCACACCTCGGTATCTAACTTCACACTTTCCGCTCGACGAACAGACGCTATATCTGTGCACTAGGTCACAGGAGCGGTTTTTTCAGAAATATCGCAAGGAGAATGTCTGAATATAACCAATGTAATGTGCATGCAGTATTTATTGCCTTTTA